AATGTCCAAGTTTTATCCACTGAGCAACGATTTAAAATACTACATAATGGTGGCTAGRCTGGGATTTATCTTGCCGGCGCTCGCCCGTGCTTATCCAGAGCCATAGCTAAAATAATAAGATTTTAACGAAAATAAACTATATTCATAAATCGTTTACTTRAAATTATATTTATTAATTAATTATAATTTCATTCATCGTAGCGTTCCAAACTCGTCTACACAATCAATCTTCGTATTGTGTTGCCATTGGCAGCATGATTTAAAAGCTTGTTGTTTATTCCTTTGCAACATTACCTAGTACGGCCAAAAAAGTCATAACTTTGACATTCCTTGGCACTCTTATTCATTTGAGGGCTACAGCAAATATGTTACTGGATTACTTAGMTATGCATTAAAGAAAAGGGCAGAGAAGTTAGGATAAAGAAGAAATTGGGATTAAGGTAAGTATGAAAACTAGTATGCTAATACTTAGGCTGATACACATGAATATATTTTTTTTTAACTTTAGTCCCCACAAAACGATTTTTGGAAATATTAGCCAGGTTCAACTTGTTATTGTTGAGCATTGAGTGAAAAATTCAGGAATCCAAGAAACATATCGTTATACATCTTGTGAAAGGCGGTCAACTTTACACGCTGACCAATGTTTTCAATAAACTCTCGTATATGAAGGCCCGTCTAAACTGCCAATTTTTGCGGCGATTTTTGTGACCTTTTTGATTCTAGAGAATTACCCACAGGGAGCACAGGCTCTTTATCAGTGTTTCTTATGTACATCACCCCTCCCCTCCCCTCTATATTTACCGTTATTTTGAAGAGTTTATGTGGTGTTATTGAATCGAGAATTTCTCGCTTGAATTTTAATAAATCGAAACATGCCCGTCGGTGTTTGGTTGCACACTTTTCGCCCCGTGTGACCCTCCGAAGAGTCGATGTTTTGTTCGTTCCAGTCTCTCTCGGATTTAACGGCTCTTTGGCTGTCCCAACTTCAGCGCGTCACGGACTTTTCTTTCAAAATAAAGGGGAGTTCCGAAGAACGTTTCGGAGGCTGGCGGCCGTCAAGAAGTCTTCGGTGGGCTTTTATTGGAATTATTGCGTAGMCTATTTATCCCTTCGAATCCCTGCGAGTGAGATTTTGGTCTGGGAGCGTTTTTCGTAGAGCAAATTGATATCGAGTAGAGCCGTTTGGAGGCGGTTTCATGGCGTTCGTCTCCTCCCTTTACTTCTTCTTTGCTTGGTGGGGAGAAAGGYACTKAAACTCAAGGAAATCGGCTGAAACTTCGTCAGAGGATCGCACAATACATCAATAACAACAGATTTGAGTTTTGTTTCGATTTATTAAAATTCAAGCGAGNCGCGTAGCGTGGATTTAATTTTATGCACATGTCAGGGACTGCGTCATATATTTTGGATCTGGGGGTCTAACAAACGCCAAAGGCGGGAGTATTAAGGGAGTATGGTCCTCCCCCAGAAAATTTTGAAAAACATTTTCAAAATTTGAAAGAAATAACTCTTGGAAATGCGATTTCCAGCATTTTGAGAGACATCGAAAATTTGTACGCTGGTTTCCTTTCCTTAAGTCTAAAACTAGCTGTGAGGAGTGACGTAGAGTACAAACATTAAATGTGTGCAACACTTTCCACTATTTACTACAAAAWAGTGTTGATTAAACTATAGAAAACAATAGAATTAGCATAATTTAGCAGTATTTAGTGGCATTTATGTTGCACAGTTTTAGTGTTTGTACTCTATAATAGAAACAGTCAATGTTGACGTAAAGTGAAGGGGTCTGAGTCTCTCTATTCTTGAATTTTTTTTCTATTGG